CCTGTGTGTGGTTGGGCCGCGCCCCCTATAGGAAAAACCTCTCCTAAAATTAAAAAAAAAAAAAAAGAGTTAACATACAAGCAATATTTATCTTTTCCTATGCTCTTTCTGCTTGGGCAATGTTTCCACTTATTAAACAAAAAAACAAGGTAAGAGGGCCTGCCTTGGGGCGCAGTGATAAGGCACTGCTTAAGAGAAGCCGGATCTTGCCTGACAGCTGCGGTGTGAACCCCCCACCAGGTCAGCTGGAAACGGGTTGGGCGCGTGAGTAAAGAACCCAGGATCCCACGGGCCGGAAGACCAGCAAAGGGACAGGAGCCTCACTTGGCCCTGCGGAGGGTGCTTAGTTTGCTCTATCATGATGAATAAGGTGTTTTTAAAAGAGGAATAATAAAGGGACCAGCAGTTAGCGTAATGGCTATGTCACTGGACTCCCACGTAGTCGACCGCGGTTCAATTCCTGGACCCGGTGGCTTAAACTCACGCCGGGCGCGTGTGCGTGCGTGCCCAAGATCCCGAGAGGAGAATGGAGGAGAAGGGATTGCGGCGTGGCCATCCCCCCTGGGGGGTGATTTCTCGCTTTCTGTCTCTCTGTCTCTCTCTGTCTGTCTGGCAAGCACATGCGCCCTATAGCAAAAAAAGCCTCTCCAAAAAAAAAAAGGAACAATAATAGGGACCAACAGGTGGTACGGTGGTTAAGGTGCTGGACAGTCCCACACGGCTGATCACGGTTTGCTTCTCAGAACTGGTGGCTTGCTTTCTCACTTTCTTTCTCTCTCTCTCTCTCTCTCTCTCTCTTTCTATGTCTTTCTCTGGTCGAATTAATATTAATAAGGGAACAAATAAAATTAAATAAATAATTATTTTTAATAAATAAATAGAATAAAATAAATCATTCTTTTTCCCCCTTTTTTTAGAGATTTTTTGCTATAGGGCATGTGCACCCACCAGAGAGAAAGACAGAAACAGAAAGTGAGAAATCACCCCCCAGGGGGCATGGCCACGCCACAATCCCTTCTCCTCCATTCTCCTCGGGATCCTGGGCACGCGCGCACACGCACCCGGCGTGAGTTTAAGCCACCGGGTCCGGGACTCGAACTATGGTCGACTACACGGGAGTTCAGCGACATAGCCATTACGCTAACTGCTGGTCCCCTAAATAATTATTTTTAAAAAGCAGTTAAATAATAATAAACCTCCCAGGCCCAGTAGGTGGCGTGGTGGCTAAGATGCTGGACTCTCCCACATGGCCGACCACGGTCTGAGTCCTGGACCTGGCGGCTTGCTCTCCCACTTTCCCTCTCTCTCACTCTGTCCCTCTCCTCTCCAGTTAAATGAAAAATAAATAAAGTTTAAAAAGAATTATTTATTTAATTCGACCTGTTGTTATTATTTTTTAATTTGACCAGACAAAGAGAGAAAGATAGGGAAAGCGAGAAAGCAAGCCACCAGATCTGGGACTTAAACCCCAGTTGGCCATGTGGGAATCCAGCGCTCTTAACCACCACGCCACCTGGCAGTCCTAAAATAATTATTTAAATAAAAAGAAGAAGAAGAATGATAATAAACCAACCTTCTTGAAAAAAAAAGAACAATAATAATAATAAAAATAAAGAAAAGCTAGCAAGCGGTGTGATGGTTAAGGCGCTCGACTCCCGCTTGGTCAACTGTGGTTTGAGTCTTGGGTCTGGCGCCTTCAAAATTTTGCCGGGCGCGTGTGCGTGCGTGCCCAAGATCCCGAGAGGAGAATGGAGGAGAAGGGATTGCGGCGTGACCATCCCCCTGGGGGGTGATTTCTCACTTTCTGTCTTTCTGTCTTCCTAGTGAGCACATGTGCCCTATAGCAAAAATCTCTCTCTTTTAAAGAATTGTTTTGTATAACTTTATTTATTGATTTATTATCATTTAACCAGAAAGGGACAGAGTGAGAGAGAGGAGAAAGTGAGAAAGCAAGCTGCCAGGTCTCGACCTTGAACTGTGGTCGACCATGTGGGAGTTCACCATTCTACCCACCCTGCCACCTGCCGGCCTGGACTCTAAAAAAAATTTTTTTAAAGAATCCTTTATTTAATTCCATTTGTAATTATGTTTTAATTTGACCAGACAGAGACAGAAAGGGAAAGTGAGAAAGCAAGCCACCAGGTCTGGGACTCGAACCACGGTCAGCCATGTGGGACTCCAGCGCCCTTATCCACCACGCCACCTGTTGGCCCCTCTAAAATTTTTTTTTAAATAGAGGAAATCCAGGGTGGCAGGTGGCGTGGTGGTTAAAGGTGCTGGATTCCCATATGGTAGACTGCAGTTCAAGTCCTGGACCTGGTGGCTTGCTTTCTCGCTTTCCCTCTCTCTCTCTCTCTCTCTCTCTGTCTCTCTGGTCAAGTTAAAAAATAATAACCACAAATGGAATTAAATAAATATTAAAATAAAAATAGAGAAAACCCAGTGCGGCAGGTGGCATGGCGGTTAAAGGTGCTAGACTCCCACATGGCCGACCATGGTTCAAGTCCTGGACCTGGCGACTTGCTTTCTCACTTTCTCTCTCTCTCTCTCTCTCTTTGTCCCTCTCTGATCAAATTAAAATGAATGAATGAGTGAATCTAAATAAAATTACTCTTTAAAAAAAGATAGAGAAAACCCACAATCACCCCAGCTCAGGCCCGAACACCCTGACCACAGGATTGCCTGGCATGAAGCGAACCGACTGTTCTAGAAGGGGGCTGGACGAGGTTGCTTCTAGTTCTGAATCTCATCACGCAATCAATGGCCCCACTTGGCCACTGTGTGCTCAGGCTGCCGGCCTATAAAGGCCCACACTCACACACACACACACACACACACACACACACACACACACGGGCACGCACACCCCCAGGTCCCCGACTCCCTGATGCCCCGGTATACAGCTGGGGAGACGCCAGTCAGCCCAGGCTCTCCCCTCCAGGGCACTGTGGAAAATGTTTGCACACACTGGGAGCCAGTTTCTCTGTTCAGGAAAAGGATTCAGTAATCTCTGGGTCAACAGAAGCTAATTAACCTGCTCTCTGCCCGTAGATAAAGGCTGTTTTCTTTTCCAGTTAATAGGCATTCAATTCTGTCTAAGTGAGTGGCCCCTCTTACCTAACGTTTTTCTCTGTTAACCCTGATTCCACCAGCTGCTGCTTCATTTTTTTAAAAAATAATCATTTCATTTTATTTACTTATCTGTTTGTTTTAATTTTTTATTTTTAAAAAATTATTTAATTTTATTTATTCATTCTTTTTTGTTTTACATTTTTTTTTTTGGAGAGGTTTTTGCTATAGGGCGCATGCGCTCGCCAGACAGACAGAGAGAGACAGAGAGACAGAAAGCAAGAAATCACCCCCCAGAGGGGATGGCCACGCCGCA